ATTGTGGCGTTCGATCGTTAATACTGGAAGTACACTTCCGCTTTTGATCTTCCGGAAACTGGACACGTAACTACTTGTGTTCATCGACGATTCCCGCTGTTCCTTGTCCATTACGATCGACCTATTCGCCAGAAGTGGCATGTTGTAACAGGGACAGAAACCTGTGTCCCTTTATTTCTTTTATTTTCTTGTGATCCGAGGAGGTGGATATTAATGTTTAACGTACCTGTGCTTCGAGTACTGTAATGACCATGTGAGCACTTTTTGTGGTAGCAGTGAAACTTCTATTCTGTCCCTCTCAACTTCTGGAACTGAAAAATGATCTTGTCGTTCAGGAGTACAGTGCGTTGATTTTGTTGAAGTAGGATGAGAAATCTTTCCCATGAAATGGATTTTTCCGACTGGTGTGATATTTACGCTTGTCAGGTTATAATAATTTACATGTTCAAGACACGTTGTTCGTTTTCCCCTCTAAAAATCTAGCTCAACGGGAAGGTGTACGTTTTAGAGTTTCACCGTGTCTATATTTGGTGCTGAAGTGTTGAGATAATATGCTGAATGATTAATGAAATGAAGCCCTGGGAATTACCATTCGAGGAATACGTTCCACTATCCTTATCAGAAGGAATGCTTTGAAATTGTAAGTGCTTGCACTTCGCAGGAGCTTCATTTTCACACAATTGCTGCTGCTTGATGGCGTTTGCACATATCCCTGAATGCGACCGAACACCGTGAAGTGCATGTTCTTATTTGTGATTTCTATGATGCATGGATGTGAATTACAGTCAAACCTATTGAAGTTGAACATCAAGGGATTAGCTAAATAATTATCGCTAGGGAGGTTTCGAGTGAGGGAAAGGAGCGTTTTTGTTCGGGGAAGGTAAGGAGAATCACAAAAAAGTGTGACTGGTGATATTTTGGCACCATTAAGTGTTTCTTAAATGAGCTGACAGAATGCTGAACTTGGAATCAAGGGTTCACTTGCCCATGAAGTCTTTCACTTCCTTTTTAAATACATCTAAGTTAAATTTTTATCGCTTTTCTCTTTCCTGTGTCAATGAATAACCAAAAGGCTGCCAGAAAATTCAAGCTGTCAGGGGGAACATTTTTAATGCATTGTTACTGAGGGAATTCAGACAGGGACTTGAAAAAGCGATAGACTTTGTGAGGTTCTCGTTATCAAGAATCAACTGGACCGCCGTATGAAGTTATAGTCGCTAGGAAAATGAAGCAGTGAGAGTGAAAAGCATGCCTTCTAAGACTCTCCCTTGTTCCGAGTTGTATGTGAAAGTGCATCAGTGAGCCGTGTGGGAACGTGTTTGTGCTTGTTTGTGACTTCCTCTGGACGCTTGAGTGACTTGAGACTTTTTCTCTCCCCCTGACCATCGGTGGGAGAAAGTGGAAACCTAGTGTCGAAGCAGGAACTTTAGGTGTAATTCTTGGGTTATTATCGGTGGCCCTCAGTGGACGTAGCTTTCGTTTGCGTCGGTTTTTTACCTAGCTTTTGCTGTGATTTATGAATTTTGTTCAGTGCGCTGAAATCTGCGTGTTTTGCTGATGAAGCACTTCTTTTGAACGACGTGGGGCTGGTGAGCTGAACGCTGGCGAGCGACGCTCAGGTTTTGCAGCGGAGCAAAACGCGATGCTTTTAGCTTTCAGTCTCAAGTTTGCTGAGGAAATCCGCGAATTCGCATGGAATTCCGAAGTCGAAAACAAGACTGAAGAGTTGTTCCCGTTGAGAGAATTCTTGCCATGGAACAACGCAATTTTATGGAATATTTCATGTCCGAATCCTTCCCTAGGTATTGTTCCGAACTCTTCGTCCGTATTGTTCAGATGAAATCGACCCTTCATGAAGTGAATGAAAGATCTGTTCATCTCAAATAGAACACTTTCATTTACTTTTACAGTTTTTGAATACATTGGTGTTCTCTACTCACTTTTTGGTAGGATCTATCGCAAATTAGCTTGAAGAATGTGCGTTCTTGACGAAAGCTGCTGTAGATCGTTGGATGAACAATTTTTCAAAAATATCAAATTGATTCAATACATTTTATTGCTCCATAATTAACGATGCGTTCCTTTGTGCATGTCAGCCATAGTTCTTTAGATATGTGCAGTATTTATATTTGCATCTGCCTGTTTTATTTTTCCTTTATTGCGGCTGCAAATACTCGTGAACATTCTGAATATTTCGAAAAATCTTCAATTCATTGGATAACTTATGAGAATACTACGTTATTATTTATTAATGAGGTACTTCAGGCATTTTCGAAATTAATTGAGTGTTCTTTGTTAGGCTTTGGAAAAACATTTTCACCTCATGTACGAAACTTCAGAACTTGATTTTGTTTTTCTGTTGATTTATTTTAGCCCATCGATGGGAAGTTTTTAAAATTTGGAAAACACTTGATCCTGCTTTTGTGATGCTTGTGCTGTTTGCGAACGTAGTACCATGAAAATTTTCATGGAATTCATCATTTTCTCGAGGGAAATAATCATAGCGCGAGAGTTGCGAAGTCTGATGGAAAAGCTGTTGGAAAATGCAGGATATTCAGAATGTATAAAGACTCACATCAGTGATATTGCCGTTAGCAAAATTTGCGAGAGAATTTAAAAATAAAATTGAGACGCAGGAACGCGTTTTGCATTTGCCTTGATTATCCAACATGTCCGTACTCGCAACGAATCAGGTGCTTATTATTCAAGCTCGCGAAGGCGTCAGTAAGAGGAAGTGGATTATGTGGCAGGAAAAAGGCGGCGATTTTTCTTCCTTTCTTTCGGTCACGTTTTCGAAGGGAGTCCAGTAGAGAAAGAAAGGAAGAAAACTTACACACACACACTTTGAAAAGCGAAGGAAAAAAAAAACTTACCTGGTCTCGGCTCGGAAGTGAAACACGTATCGACACGTCTTCCAGTGAAAGTAGCCCTCCTCATTCCGTGTCTTCTCTCTTTGCTCGCAAGCTGTTCTTGGAACTTTTCTTGTTGAACGAGTGAGGGCCATATTTTACGGCGTCTTTTCTGGACTTGCGAATGCGTCCTACAGTCGCCGGAATTGTGTTGCACGAATGGAGTAGGCGTGTTGGTTAGATCTATTTTATTTTATTTTACGTGGCGTCCCTGCGGGGCTACCCATTTAGCACGGCGGCGGAATCTCCCCTTTTTTTCCCGTCAAAACTGCGGCCCATAATTCAATATTCATTGAAGTCCTGGAAATGTGTGGACCCCGATGTACGGTTACCCGGAAATACGGACAATTCGACGTTAGGAAACTTTGAAATAAAATTAACTGCCACGACATCAGACAATGTTTCGAGATGCGGACACTTTTCCCACAATTTCCAGGAAAAAAGATTGTTTATCTTTTCAACGCTTTGATAACTCCAAGAAATTGATCTACTTTATATTCACAAAAATTGAGAGTACATTTTTATATTTTATAAAGTGCCTTAAAGTCATAATCAAAACATGCTGATTTTGTGCTTCTTTTTTGGAGTTTTTCTCGTCATCTGTGCAGAGTACAGCAAGACTTATTCTTGTTAATTGTTCCTTGTGCTACTTTTAATGCCAAAGATTATATGTTGTGTGGGTTTCTTCTGTACAGTAATTTTCCGCATCTTGAAGTTGGGGAACAATGTACAGTACAGTATACAGTATTCAATTTTCGCGGACTTATTCCTACTTTTTAATAAGCTGGAGAACCAATTAAATTATTTTACGTTGAAGTCTATGGGAAAACCTGATCCAACGTGTTGACGCTGCGATATAGGGACAAGGTCCAAGCCCCAATTATGTCCGCATCTCGGACCCCCACCCCCCAACTCTGTTCCGGAAATGAACCCTCATCACTTTCGCGAAATGAGATGTCGAGAAAAAAAAAGTGATAAATCTTTTCGAAAATGTCACGGAGGCTAGCAATTTTTCTTGACGTATTCGAATGAATTACAGCTGGAGGAACCTTAGCGCACAACGCCTGCTATAAAAATGTATTCGCGCAAGAAAAAATTTGGCTGTGACATTGCTTATTGCCCTTTCAGAAAATTAAAAGAAATTCTTTTATGTCGTGGAAATCGCATTAATTCTTGGTTGCTTTTATTTTTTTTATAAAATTCGAATATAAACCAGGGCAAGAGAAGAACGAAAAAAAATGACGGAATACTTGCGCTGTATTTCTTGGACGAATATACAATCGAAATTTGCATTCACGTGCAGCGAACTGCCGTTTACGAGTGCATCTTGGAAACGTCGTCGGTATTTTTTGGTTTTCATGTACTGTATTACCGTGTATGACACGAGTCCAGGTTGTGATTCTTATGTTGGAAAGGATTCTATATTGAATATGCAAGTTCAACTAATTTTGACTACGGATTGCTTCATATTTTCATGTGCAGATCATGAGTAGTGTGACATGAGACTTTTTCCTATGAGCCGTACCAGTTTGTTGAATCCAAAATTTTTATACGGAGGACTGCTGTATTTCTCTTTTCATTACGGAAGGATTCATGAGTTTCCATAGCCATTATTTGCAATGTCACTTACCGTAATCTGAAAACTGCTACAGTATTTGAATTCTTTTGATTGAAACGTTTTTTCCCCTGATGAATATACAGTACAAGTATGATATCCATTTAATATCTTTTACGCACAGGGCTTCTTAATCTTCATGAGACAGTCATGATAAACGTGACGTGATCCCGTAGTTTTGGTTGGTTTTGATTCTTTTATTTTGAAACATGTTTTCCAAGTAAACGCGTTTTCATGTTTAATGCTTAGAAAATCGCAAATTTTAAGGGCCATTGCAAGCAACTTGGCACGTGCTCTTGATCTTGATAGATTTATATTCTAGTGCGTGAGTTGAGCACGTTTTTTTATTGAATACACATTTATGACCCCTTTTTCGATTTTGACTATCGGCCTTGTGACTGTAGTGTTACCATTTGTTTTGTTGTTGTTGAGATTTTGCCCCGTAGGAGGGAATGCACAAATTATCAATGCTTGGTTCTTTTTGACAGAGGGCTTTTTAACTGCAGTGTTACCATCGGTGTTCTCGGATCTCACGTCGGAGGAGTGAATGCATAGCGTGTGAAACAGTGCCTCAGCTTCGGACTGCCAGATTTGAAAAAAGAACAGAACGAAAATTCTGATCGGTTTCGAGACCGGAGTGACGAGTGGGGGAGGGTCAGTCGAGAAGTTCAGTCAAATTCGTCACTCACGGCGTCTCGAACCGATCCGCGTCACCTGTGCTTTTCTCGCGAGGGATGTTCGACGTTGACGCGGACGACGTGAAGAAGTCTTTGCCCTCCCCGTCGACCCTGCATCACGTGATGATGGGCCTGCATGCAGGTGCGGGTGGCGGCGGCGGCGCCGGCGCCGGTGGTAACGGCGGCGGTGCTGGAGCCGGTGTCGTTTCGCTCGTCAAGTCTGAAGCCGTCGCTGTCAAGTCCGTGCCCTGCGCGTCGTTTCCCGGCGACGAGCACGTGTCGCAAGGCCGCGAATTTGCGGAGCTGAATGCGCACGAGATCTCGCTGGATTTGCAGAATTTGATCGAGGAGTCGGAGGGACTCTTCACTGACATTGGCCTGCTTGAGGGTGGTGAGTTATCAATTTCAAAATTTTTAAAAATCTTAATCATTTTCTTTTTCTCGGGTCGAACGGTTTTCTCCAGATTTTTTTATACTGATATCCCGTGTTTGCACGTGTCTATAATGACTGAATGCGTTATCGAAAAAATAGTATCGAAATTTTTAATCACATATGGAACATCCTAATATCACCTCTGCCGTTAATTCTTCAGAATTTTTAACTCAGTAATTCATATCGTACAGTATTTACTCAAGTACCAAGCGCACCTTCAAAAAATGACGAGAAAGAAAGGGGATTCGCTTCATAAGCCTGTGTACATTTTTCGAGAAATTGAAGTTTTTGTCCATTATTGTATAGCTGATTCTAATGGGAAATTTTGAACCAATTTTAACAGAGATTCTTATTACGGTATAATGAAAAACAATTGGAAATTTCTTGAATTCAGGTTCAAATCATGTCTAAATTCACATTTTGATGTTGTTATTTTGGAAATATAAATTCAGTGAGAGTCACTGAAAATGCGGATTGCGTCTTATTTTGGAATACGATTTTTCAAAATTGTTGGCGGAAACACCCCTGGTACGTGTCTTACTTGGATGTGTGTGGTTTTTGAGTAAATATTTTGTGCATGTTTATTGTATGTGTATACGTATATATAGTATATACAGTATACAATATATATAATTAAATATATACCAAATACTACCCTGTATATTTTCTGTATCGGTTTGCGTCATATCTAGAAGATGTAACACAACTCATCTGTAAATTATAAATCATCTCAAAGAATTTATCTTCAGCTTTGATAAATTAAATTTATTTAGGAACATTTTCAAGTTTTTCTCCGCGTGAAGGTCGCATTTATTCATCCTCTTGAAATTGTCGCATTAATTCCAGGAACTATTTCCGCGGTATTACGGAATATGTGTGCTATCAAAATTTAACTATCCGAAAGTTTGCTTATAAAAAACGCCTCAGTCTGACTTCAATGTGACACAGTTCTGTATCTAAGGGAACAACCGAACTACAGTATGATACAGTACAGTATATGTGGTGTCTCTCCATTCAGAGAACCGATAAAGCAGCACTTATGCATGCCTTGATGAAACGTCCCACAGAATTTTTCTTTTTCTCCGCTAGATGTAGTAATGTCTTCATGGAACATTTTAAGATTTTGTTCCTGTGTCGGAAGTGGGGATGTGTGTCATTCCATGAAATTGCTGTTATAATCTGGGAATGGTTAGAGTTATCGACTACAAGTAGAGAGTTATCGTAGAAGATCTAAAGACATTTTTACCGGAACATTCTGTAAATTGCACGGATTGGACTAACAGAAGCGGAGGTCTTTTTGAGTGCCAAAATATTCTGAACCACGCGAGCTGCCTTCTTGTCTGAAGTAATTCAAGGTTATTTGTTGGAATTCGGTCCGTGTCCAATGATTTTTTTTATTACTTCAGCTGCATTGATTTAGCATGATGAGCATGGCCATTTGAGAAAGATACGGTACCTGTATTTGAAGAAAAAAATTGCGACAGACTTTCCCGCCTTCCCAATTTTATTCTGCCAGTTCTCTGAGTTTTAGAACTCCAGAATCTCTGGAAAAGGAAATTTTTAGGTGGAAAATGTGTCCAATAATTCTTCAACATCTCCGTATTTCCTCGAGGTTGAAATTGTTCAGGAAATTCGAGGTAATCGTAACTATATTCCATTAATTTTGTGCAAATGTGAATTATGAAGTGATTTCCTGTGAGATCACTGGCAGAGTCGGAAAAGCACAAAAAATCTGAAGAACTTCCAGCAACTTTGTTCTCGATTTTTTTTTCATATGATTGTAATAGTCTTACTAATTTACTTCAGTTACATCTGTTCCATTCGGATCGGTTAGATTCCAATTTTATATTTTCATTGTTTGTTTTTTGTTTTTTTTGCTAAGGAGACATAACTGATCACAAAGAAATTTGTTGTTTGTTGTATTCCACTTCATTTCCGAAATCGGATACACCCGGTGCACCGTCGTCGATGAGATCTTTTCGATTTCTGTCTTTTCAGCTGTAGTTCTTATTTTGGCATAAATATTCGTACTTGACCAAAATTTGTGCGTCCATGTTGAGAAATCCACGAATTATTACTTGTTTTTACCGTGAATAGAAGTCCATCAAAATCTCAGATTGTTAATCGAGTCTCTAGAAAGCGAGAGTTTAGGAAGTCCGCCAAAGTGCGGCTGCAGAAACTTTCAAATGGGAAAGGAGAGGCTTGAAAACGATTGCGAGGAAACAATTGCACTTTCTCTGTAGAACTTGAAGCATTGATTGCCTCATTATAAAAAAAATTGTTTCTGATGGCATGCTGGATATTTTCAAATAGACCGGAAAATGACTCCCGTTGGGCCCTGGTTTGGAAAAAGTTTCCGCATGTTCATTTTCAGCCTGCATTGTCGGGGCCTCTCGTGTATAAGTTCCTTTGCTGTATCACGTTTTTTTTAATGTAATTCTGTTCAATTGAAAAGCCAGAAAATATGTATGGACCTTTTATCCGCAACAATGCTTTGCATACAAATAATGTGTTCCTATCTATGTATGCATTATATAGAAAAAAAAAATCATCCGCTCGTCTACAGATCGATTTTTCCCCGTCCCCTGAAGCATAAAACCCCACATTTGATCTGTATTAACATTTTAATGCATTTATGGGTTCGTTTATGAGCGAAAGAGAAGAGAGGTTTTGATCAATCATTCTTTAGATTAAAAAAAAAGGATGAACAACCCCAATAAAATAAAAGGAAGAAAGATGAAAGTTAACCCAACAATTTCCTCCCCAAATCTATGATGGAAGCCTTCTGAAGAGCATATGTCAAGATTAAATTCAATGTATTGTTGGGTTATTGTCTGTTTCAATGCTCTATTTGTCGTTTCAAAATTGTATTTTATTTACATTTTATGCACGAACAAGCGAAGAATTTCTGAAATGCTACGCAATGTTAGTTTGAACGTGTAGATCTGAAAAAGAATGTGCTTACATCAGGTTTGTGCATCAATCACATCTTTCTCCACGGTTTCCCCTCTTCCTTTTTTCCGTGCGAAGGTCCGATTTTTTCGTGAGTTTAAGTGTATTGACTCAATGCTGTATGAGAGACGAAATTTTCTCGGTGACTGAAATTTATTGCTGTACTGGAGTATAAAACTGCAACTGGAGTAGTACAGTATCCGTCTTCAGTTTTTAAATCGCACGTGACATCGTCCTCATGATTTAGAAATTTCCGTGGGAATTTTCCTTCCATGTTTTGTTCTGCATAAAATACGAACCTTCGACGAAAACAAATTATTGATCCTTTTGTACATGTATTTATTGTTCGACTCTCAATGACGCGAAATACCAATGCCTGTCATGTAATAAGAAAGGCTGTGTTTCATTGATATTTTTGGGTCCCGGCGAATCTTGTTAAAATTGTTCTTGATTGCCTTGGAATCATTAACATTGTCATGTTTTGGTATGAGAATTACGACCTTCCAAGTAGAGTACTGCTAAGAATTGATGAACATGCCCAGATTTACTTTTTGATTAACCCTTGCATTTCTGAAGTTCAGAAGATGACATGGAATACAGGTACTGTACTGCATTTGAAAGTGAAGAGGTGTTGAAAAATGCGTGTGAATCGTCGGAATTTCATCTTTTCAAAATGTTATTGATCTGTTCGGAGTTTGTTCGGTCGTGTGGAAAGTGTTCATCACGTAATTCTTGTTCCTCACCTATTCCAAGAACAGCTTTCGATGACTTACCTGAGTAGCTGATTTCACGCCTCATGTTTAGAAAGTATTTTCATTTAATTTCTGCTATGATTTTTCCCACTGAAGAATAATTTTGAAGAGCTTCTCGTTTCTTCGTATTATAGAAAAAAACTTGAATCAAGATAGAATCATGACGAAATGGACATTTATATTTTCAAAATGCCTTCAACATAGTCATGGTATGCGTACCTTTGCTGCATAATCATTAAATATGTTGTAATCTGAAAGATATTTCGGTTATTAAATATGATATGTTTAGAAAATGCACCTTCGGTTTTTATGGCGTACCAATTGGTTTTTAATTCTTGTGTCAATGGAAACTTTGACCAAAATTTTCTGAATTTTAAGATGTTGAAAAAATGTGAATTTCTCGTCGGGTCAAATAAACTCTGCGGAAAAGGCTTCGCATTCTTCATGTGATTCAATGGATCCTTCATTGCTTTTTGAATACTGTACGCCTTTTTCGCGTGTACGGTATCGCGTTAATTTTATTACAGCACGATTTAAAAACGTTTGACAGTTACATGTGTGAGAACTGTGAAAAATAAGTTCCTGCAGGGCGACTAAAACAGTTATTCTCAACATTTTGAAATACAGTGAATAATCATCTTTTAATGATGAATTTCCGTGACGGAGCGTTTCATGTTTGGGGGGGGGGGGGGGTTTACGAATACAGTACTGTACAGTATGTTGCGTCACAGACAGACTACGCCTTTCGCATTTAGTCATTTTCAGCCATTCCATCTTTGTATACGTCAAGTGATCCCATTTTCATTTTGTATTGTTGCATCTCATTCGTCTTCGTTCATACATCTCTCCGAAACGGCCGAGAAACTCAAAGCTGAGCCCTTGGTGTTTCACAATTTTTCTTGGAATGTTACAGTGCAGTACTTCAAAAGGCAGGGGGTTTTTAATTAGGTCTCACCGTATTTTCCATTAGTAGATGTGATGTACTATTCTTTAAATCTTGAATTTTATTGCACTGGACCAGAAGTCAGAACCGCGGTCAGACTCCAATGAATTTCAATCGCGATGACGTAACGTATGTCATCAATCAGTCTGTAACGACTTCATTAATGACTGACTGCTATTGATGCATAGAAAGGTTCATGCGGTATCCTTACAGAATGTGATGATAATTTACGTCGTCAATTATTATTTTACTGAACGAGAAGCGCATTGAATTTCTGTGTTATTGTACAGTATTAAAAGTTCTAACTTCGTTTCCACATTCCATGAAAATAATGTGTATGCTTATTTCTCTCGTGAGTGTGAGTTCATTGTTTTTCCAATTCATTTTGCGAAACTGAGCTTTTATCGATTCATTTTAGAGTAAAACAAAGCTTTTCAGCTTCCTGGACATGGGTTTTGAACGTCGTGTTTCCTTCATGAAATTTTCCATCCTCGAAACTTCTCAAAATCCCCCATTTTTGAAGAATGTTTCGTTGTCATCAATTTTTTTTAAATGAAAATTTAGAAGTCACACTTCATCTTCGGATTTAGAGCCAAAACATTTTCCCGGTATAAGTTAAAAAAAAAAATTGGAGCATGGTGACCTATACTTCGCAACATTTGGATTGGGAAAAGTTCTGAAAATCGAGTCCAAGAAAGAGAAAACTGATAATTGATTCGGATTCGTTGGAATTGAATCCGGTTTATAAATGGAAATACGGCTTAGGTGTTTTCCAAAATTGGAACTTCGACGCAGTTGGATTGACGCCCTTTTTATATTATGCTCATTATTTTGTCGGAATAAAAGTGAACCAAAAGCGCTAGAATGGTATATATTTAAAATTTATGGCTTATTGCATGCGACAAGTGCCTGGAGCTTCTTGTATAGGCTGTCGTGAGTCTTTCCGATGGATTAAGAAATAATAAACGTTACCAAACATGATTCATAATCATCACCTGAAGGGATAAAACTATGCCACTCCAGAAAAATCTCGCCGAATTGAAATTCATTCGATGTTTCCCAAATGACACCAACATAAATGTTGTTTCAACAATGGGGTCTTCGGAGAGGTTTCGAGAATGGAAAATGTAATACACGAAGCGCGAAGTTCAAAATCCATGCTGTCCAGGAAGTTCAAAAGCTTTGTTTTACTATAAATTAAACGTGCGATTAAGTCAATTGTAGAGATAACGTGGTGTGACTCATGATGACTTTTAAAAGCCTAAAATAATTTGCGATTGGAAAACTTGGACCATACGGGACTTCGAATGCATCTCGAGACCGGTTGAGGATATTTTATAAATTTTGTTGCAGCTTTCCTACCGGCTAGGGAAACGAAAAAGGAATAAAGGGCAGAATTCGGGTTTATCTGCTGGATTTCCAAGCACCCGTGAAGTTGAAAGATGTCCAGATGTTCCCCCTTTATTAAAAGAAGCCGAATTCTGCAGTCTCCAGAATTTTTTTTTCTGCCAAGCATTGAAAAAATGTGTTTACATTAGGAAACGACTTTTGGACTGGCCTGGAATAAATTTATTGACATGTGCGCTGTTCGTCATGGCTGATTATTCGCAAGATGATTGAAGGCGTGTGCGAATGCAAAATGTTTGTACATAGTCTCTCCATCATATTATAAAATCCTATATTCTATACTCGGATACGAGGTACAATATTTGTTTCTAGTTTCGGCGCGAGTTCTAAAAATTGTCGATGGGAGAATTATTCTCAAAGTTATATTCAATAGCTTTGTTGTCTACTTTAAAACGTAATTCTCATTGAAAGTATGTTACTGTATTAGAAAAATAATGTCTCTTCAAATATTTTGTACATAATTTTATAAATCCGTCATTCTGAAATTTCGGTCCGCATAATCACCGGGTCTGGCCATGAAGAGTAGGAAATTTTCAAAATACTAGGCAAAGTTATTTTATTGTATTTCAACCCATTTCGATTGAATTAAATCGTAGGCGATGAAAATGTCGATTTAATAAATATTTTCCCGGATATCAGTTTTTCATACTGCGCTCTTAATTTTTCAGCCCTTGGAGAGGTAGCAGAGTTTCTCATTCCGATTCACTACTTTTCAAACCCTTCCACTACAACAAACGAAAGAATCCCGAAGAACCCAGACCCGGCGATTATGTGGAATTTGAAGCAATTATATTTTATTTTATTTGGGGAAGCTATTTCCTCTTCTGTCCTCGGAACCTTTTTTTTATGTATCTTTTCCACATCCTCATGTGATGCGTTGCTCTGTACAATGAGCAACTCATCGTCTGCTCCTAGATCTTTCACCAGAGCTTACTTAATCGGAAGATCGTGTTTTCAATGGAAACTCAGCTCGTAAAGAAATGCTGAACAACCCTTGAAAACTCCCATTCATCTCAACTCGATCATTTATGTGTATCGTCCGAACCTACTCATTTTTGCTTGACCTTTTCGTGAAATGAAGCCTAAAACAATTTCCGAATTAACAGCTCATGGAAAACCCGAAAACTTCAGTATGCTTTGCTATCATTCTATGAATAGGGTGTCCCCTTAGAAAAAATTAAGAAAGAAGGTGTGGAACACTAAGCATATCCCGGTATGCCGCTCATTTTATGAAAAATCCAGTAGAAACGGGTAGGTGCGCGCGCGCGCGGTACGAAGTTCATAGTGACATCTAGCTGAACGTTTTGGAACATGCTGTCGGACGTTGAGAGTTGAATGTAAGAGATCACGCTAAAGCAGCAAGCACAGAATCGTGACTTCCATTTCGGTTGTTCATATCATGTGTTATACTAACCGTGCCGTTTTTCCGTGAAGGCACCACAAAGGCCGTGATCTTTTTTTCCCGTTGTTTCGATCGTATATTTTAAATTTGTCTTTGTTTCTCTCTCGCCGTAACAAAAACAGGAAGCAACAGCCAATGCACCCCCGCGCCACACGCAGCCCACCAGCAGCAGCAGCACGAACCCTACGCCTCCACCGCCATGGACTCGGCGCCGACGGGCTACACCGTCTACACCCCGGACCCCGTGACTGCCCACCAACAACAGCTCCTTCTGGCCGCCGCCAACAGCACCACGCACACGAAGCGCCACTCGGCCGTGTCCATTTCCGCTGCCACGTCCTCGTCCGACCACCGCGGCGCCACGGGTGGTAACAGCGCTTCCAGTGGCGCCAGCAGCGGGAAAAAGAGCAAATCCTCGCCGGACAAGCGCAGCGACGAGTATCGCCGTCGCCGCGAGCGCAACAACATCGCTGTCCGGAAATCGCGGGAAAAGGCCAAGCAGCGATCGAGGGAAACTGAAGACAAGGTCAATGGATTGGCCCGAGACAACGACAGGCTACGGAAACGATTGGACCTTTTGAGCAAAGAGCTGAATGTTCTCCGGTCCTTGTTCTCCACTGTTGGGGTCGTGCCGGAGCCCCTGCACAGGGAAATCGCCAAACACCTTGAGGCCTTCCAGGCCCAGCACCAGGCTTTGTTATGATGAGTCGCCTATTGAGCGTTTGCCGTGTCTCTTGATGTGTCGCTATACTGCTTGCTTGTTTGGGTACAATATTCCGCATTTGTAGGAGGAGAAGAACGAAGGAAACGAACGAATAGATGGAGAAGATTTGATAGGAATTCTTCTCATGATGGGCAAAACACCACACATTCAAAAAGGAAAAAAAAAATCCCAGAATCCCTGGTCCGGGCGAATTGAGCGACTAGGAATCAAATGTTCTCAATATGTACTCTACGAACAAGTGGAAAAATGAGTTAACGTCAGCTTAAGACAAGCGAGTGAAATAATTACCTCTTTGTAAAAGTTACTCGAGGCTGGAACGAGTCAAAAAAAGAAAACGTGAACCAGGTTTATATTTTTTCTGGAACATATGGTTACCTTGATTTTTTTATGCTGCCGTGTTGTTGTTTTTTTTTTAGAGTCGATGCAAAGTCAGATCATCCGAGTAGAGATCTGTTCTCAGTTATTCAGTATATGCAATCGATATCCGTCTGAAATTAATCGTGGTTTTACAAATTAAATATCGAGACAGATGAGGAAGAGAATGCATCAAATTGCGTGCGACGATGGGGTTGGAATAAATATACTTCTTGTGAACGTTCCTAAGGTTACCACCAAGCTAGTTATGGCATTGAAGCCCTGGTGTTTTTTCTGACCAAATTTTGTACCTTGATGATCGCATTTTAGATCAATGCTTGTCTTTTTTTTTTAGTTTGTATGGCGTCAGCCATGTGTGTTTAGAAGGAAAAAACAATTTTGAGACGAAGCCCGCGACTTCGAAAATCAACCTCGATGGCATGATTCAGACGCTATTTTTACCTCGTCTTCGTGCCACCTTTATTTTATTTTTTTCTTGTACACTCCTGTCCCCCTAATATTTTGGATCTTTTTATTCGGCGGAGAAATGGCGGGAGATTTGAGAGAATCGAATTCAGTGTCAGTGTGAACCTAAATGCTTCGAAGGTTGTGTTTTTATTTTCGTTTCGATTAGTTGTCAACTCTTTTTTCGAGTACCGAAACTTGATGTTACCGGTTTTTTTGAATTGCTCAGCAATCTTCAGGCGTGTTTGTTTTTACTCGAGAGTTACCGTATTCGTGCAGTTGCGACGAGCTTTAGCCGTGTCCTCTTTGGTGGTTACGTTTGATTGTTTCTTGTCGATGAAAAAGAGGTTTTTGAAAGGTTGTGAAAGTGAGGGTCTGTGGAAGGTTGTTTCGTTTTTTTTTTTATTATTGGAGCTCAAGCTAGACGTTGAAACGAATCGAAAAGGAGCGAACTGGCTCATAGTCTACATCCCAAAACACCTGCTTCAATTAACGCTTTTTTTTCTCCGAGAAATTTTGAGCAAGTGGAAAAAAAATGTAATATTGATCTTCAAGCGGTGTGTGTAGGGAACACATGGTAAAGGCGCTCGACAATTGCGTTACTTTCGTTGTTGGTTCGTTTTCTGGAAAAGAGCCTGTGTTTTGTTAAATTTTTTTTTTTTTTTGCCCGTTGGCTTCGGTTATTATTATTTTTTTTCGTTCGTCGAAGTTTTTGTCTCGCCTTTTTGGTTTTGAATCGGCTTGCACATCCCCAAGTAGGAACAAAAGTCGCTAGTCCACATGCAAACCCAGTGAAGCGGTCTTGTGTGGCTGATGATTTGGGCCATGTTTTTTTTTCAGTTAATTCCTATATTCGTTCCGAAAGAAATTGCAAGTTGGAGAACTGTTTGTTGTTTATTCGCAAGTTGTCCGCTCTCTTGATGTGTTGATCTTTTATTTTTTTTGTACAGAGGAATCGAGTATTTGTTTTTTTTTTTCTCTTGTGCTGAACGAAACAAGCCTGGGGAAGTGAAAGAAACAAGAATGAATTGTGAGACGAACTTGCGTTTTGAATTAACCTTTTTCTAATATTTACATACAGTGTTCATTTGAAAAAAAAAAGTTAGATGGAAAGGCACGTTGAGCGTCATATGAAAACTAGATATGCCATCGGTTGTCCTTTCACCATCACATGAAGACGATCGCGTGGATTGGGTGTGTCTAATTCACCTTTTTTCAAAAATTGAAATGAAGTAAGGAGGGCGGGCATACAATTTAAAAAAAAGTTTGCTCAGGACCACATCATACTTGATTGGAATGGACAATTTTGCACCCATTTCAGGAAAGAAAATTGAAAATGGAGAAAATTTAATATTCATTAAAGTTAAAATGCAATGCAATTTAAAATGAAAATTCAGTGTTCTTACCATTTATTGGATTTTTTAGATCGCTAAAGCTGGGATGTACCTCTCACCTGTGAATCAGGTTTTTTTTAAAAGTTTGTACTCTAAAATCTAGGCGGGTGTCTTATTTAAGAAAGTGAGGTACTGAAGTATCTATGGCATGTTATGTGGGAGTATTTTCTAATGACATTCAATGGTATTGTATGATTTTTTTTAAATTCACAGATTCATTAGAAGGAATTGTGACTCGTAATTTTAAAATTACTTACATGAAGCAGTAGCCGTGCATCAGGATGTACGAGAGTTGATCCGCAAAATTCAAATTCTTTTTGGCTGTAACAAAAAATTGAATGAAATGAAAGATCTGTTGCCGGAATTTGTCTGAGAATATTCTTCTCTCTCCACCATTCTTCGCTTTTATTTCTTATCAGATTCAATGCATCCGGACAGTTATTTCCCTTAGAAGGAATTGTAAATTCAAGAATAATTCCTCTTTTGTTCTTGAATCCAGTCCACAAAGTGTGACACCTTGGTGTAAACTCCAGGAAAGTCGGGCAATCCGCATTTATATCCCCAAGATGCAATCCCAGCAAGTAAATTAGTTCCCTGTGGATCAAATTTCACCAGAGGTCCACCAGAATCGCCCTGCAAAAGATTGATTCGGTGAAAAAAAGTTTCATTTGGTAGTACAGTACAGTATACTGTACAATAATTTCTTGAAGCTGTTTAATTCAGTTTACAGCAATCATGTTTGCTAAATCACAGGCTCTGGCAAGAAATTCGGCAACAAAAACTGCAGAATTTAATTTTCACTATTGTGTTCACACAGATGATTAAAAATGCGCAGCGTTTTTTACGAAAAGATTTACCAGCATATTTTTTATAATTCTATTCATGCTTGACATCAAGTGTGAGGAATTATTTGTGAAATTCCTGCCCAGGAAACTTATTTTCAAAGAATGCTTTCAGAACAATCTTGTCTGACTTGACCTCCTATGGAACATTTCCTGTATGTGAGAAATCACTGAAGTATCTTTGCAGTGTAAGCCGATTTTCCAGAATAAAATTTGGCTTTCCAGGAATGAAGGTGGCATGATTCTTTAAAATTTAGTATAAAGTCAGTCAAACATTCCGAGTGTAGAAATTAATTCTAACGCCAATTTTTGTCTTCGCTGTATTAAATATGAAGTGAGATATTCGGAAGAAAGTATGAATGAGGACGGCATCATTCTTTAAAATTCAGTCAAAACATTTGAGTGTCGAAATCAATTCTAATTCCTTTGTCTTTGCTGTACTGTATTGTGTTTAAATTGAGATATTCGGAAGCAAGTAAGCTTGCTTTTTCTGCCGCAGAATGTTGCATTATTAATTTTTTAATGCCAAACCGAAATAAAGAAACGTTTCTGACTGCTAGAAGCTGTCTTTGAATTAAATCCTTTAAAATGAATTCAATAAATTTCCTGATTGAAATTAACAAACTGATGCCTATAGTTTCCGGAAAGGTAAAAACAGCCAAACATTATTTTCAAACCAGAGTTGAATAAGCAGTCGTTTTCTGCACACATGACTCATAGCATAATCAACGTTGAAGCAACTACTTACATCACATGTGTCGAAGTTGTCAGGATACCTTCCAGCAGCGCAAATCATGTCTTCATTCACGAGGCAATCGTGTTGCGAATATTGTCGGCGGCACTCTTCAAAATTAAAGTTATCCACCATGCCCCAACGCAACTCGCGAGAAGTCGAGGCTCCTGGATACCAAGTTAAACCCCACCCGACAATCAAGAACCTCTGGCCTGGAAATATTGTTGGTTCATCATGAGGGAATAATTTAACGTGAATAAATGTGTGAGAAAAATCACGAACCGGAGAGCATTTCTTCGTAACTTCCGGGTAGCGGGATCGATGAGACGTATTCGTTGAATATCAATGGATCATGCAGTTTCAAGAAGCAAATATCATTTGGTGGCGGTATCCTATTGAAAAAATAAAAATGAAATTTTCACATTACTGTATTTTAATTCTTCGAAGATTTGGTGATCGTTTCTCCATGAAAGATTCTATTTTTCAAATTCAGACAGCACAGAGAAATATAATTAATTACTTGAAGTCATTCTGAATGAAATAATTTGTAGAATCGAGAAATATTTCAAGATTATTTAATCCGAGTAGATATTTCTCCTCATTTCGAAATTTTTCAGAAAGCTGAGTTTTCAAATCACCGTAGCACCTGCATGAGCCAAGCTGAAAATTTTGAACGAAATGAAGTGAAAAGAATTAATTTTCACTTCAGACTAAATGTTGCTTTAAGCTTTAAAATATTTCAGGTAAAAATTGACTGAATTTTTCTCCCTCCAAGCATGAAAAAAAAAACAATTAGAAATCAACATCCGTAAAATTTCAGTTGAGCCGGATTCGAAATATTACAATTTTCATTTGTTGAATGTCCAAAAATTTCTCTGAAAATTCCTCACGTGAATAATGCGTACACGAAACTATTCAGAATTTATTTGTTAATTCAGGCCGACTTTATATTTGACGTTCAATAATTTCAGAATACATTGCTCTTATTCAAGTACGAGTAAACAAATTTGAAATAATTTGTTAACTCACTCATCGACGTAATTCTCATGAACGACGACGTCCATCTGAGACCGAATTTGTTCGGTTCCGTCATCTTCCTTCGCGTTAAGATCGCCTGCATATATCTTTAGCAAAACATGCAAAAACTTCAGTCCACGGAATTGAATCTGCTAGAGTTGGTTATGCTGTAAATAGGAAAATAACACTCACTGTTACATTACTAGCTTTGAAACAGCAATGACCAGCACTGAGCAGGAACACTTCAGACAGGATAATTCCAGCGCATGACGACGGTATGTTATACTTATTGTTCATAGTCATTCGAACGATGTACGGAAATTGTCCAGGTTTTGCTAGCTCTCCATCGATGATCCTTTGATCATGATGAACATGTTCGGGCTCAGATGAACTTCCAGAATCTTTAAAAAAAATGAGTAAAGGGAGAAAGGATGATTATTAAACCGCATATTATGTAGCGTTAGTAGCGAGTATTTCAGCAACTTACCTTCAGCAGCGCAGATCAGTGCTACACAAAGAGAGAAAACCACCAAATTTCGCATCATTGTAGAAGATATTCACTGGTTTTATTCTTTTCTTCAATTTGAACTTTCTTTGTACGAAGAACGGTCTATATAGTGATCAGAAAGCATGAAAAAGAAAGAAAAACAACGGCATGAAGTTATATGTACGAGCTTTGAAGAAAATGAATTTTATTTCAAAATATTTTTCAAACGATCAGCAATGTCGCATCAAAGCAGATTTTCTGAAATAAATGAAACACCAAGCCCTTCTTTTTTTATACGTATATCCATTTGAGGTGACTTTGGATATGCTAACATTTTCAAGACTTTTCCTGTTCATATGGACGTGAAAATTTACGATTGTCGGTTTTAAATGTGGATGGTAGAGTTTTCCAATCGACACGAGGCGTTCGAAAGGCGTCATTTATCACATTGACTTCTCGATGCAATTGAAGTTTGTACGGTCTCATTGAGAAAGATTGAGCGAATCTGATGAAATTCGCGTCTACTTCTGAAATAATGTGTCGGGCGTTAAGTAATTTGATCAAATTTCGCAGCATGGAATTACGTAGGACTTGCCGTGCTTACAGCATACGTACTGTATCGGAAAAGGCTCCTAGGAAATTGAGAAAAATTCCTGTTGGCTTATTTTGAAGCGAAAACTTTATGTTTAGACGAGTTTATAACATACCATTTTTTTTTATCTCATCTGGGCTCTCTTGCACCTTTATTTTCTTTTTTTTTTTTTAAAGAAAGAATTTTTTTTACCAGGTTTCAAAATCAGGGTCATTTTCAGCATTGGTATTCGTGATGGCAGAATAATTTTCATTTGCGTCAAAAATAGAAAGTACCGATAATTTCAGCATCTTACCGATTTTAGGCAACTCTGTTGTTTACAAAGCCAGAGGCACCAGGAGAGCATATGAGCAAAGTTACCAATGAGCTTCAAAAAATCCTGAGAGAAACAAAACAAAAAAAGTTCAATGTCCAACAGACCCCCGAGTAAATTTCATGGCTGAAGGTTTAAAAATGCAGCCCTAAGAGGATTTTCTTGCTCCACCGAAACCTTTTTTTTGTTGATGCATACTGTACATTCTGTATGTAGGGTACAGTACTGTACTTGAGTACCACGCTCCCTTGGGTAAGAAATGCACCCCATTTTTAGCGAATCTAAAGCTGCATCATTTTTAAAAATAAGAACACCTAAATTTGAACTTGGACATGGATTGAACCGTAATTCATTGAACTTTCAATTGTTAGGATATACTGTAAAAGCAGTTCCAGTCAAGAAATGTTCTATTATATGCAAATAGGACACGCGCATGAATTTCTAACATTTTTTGAAAAATTGATCCCCGTCCATCATGCGCACCCCATTTTTCCTCTTATTTTTTAGAAAGAAGGTGCACTTCGTACTGGAGTGAATACGGGGTATATATACGGTATATACCACCTCCTAAATTGTATTTGGGAATGTGTGAACCCTCCTGAAGGCAGCTTGGATTGTGCTATTTAAATTACTGGTCCTGCACCTCATTTATCCCTAAAAACAGCTCTGAACAATGGCAGCTTACTGGAAGAATTTGCCTGATAATTTTTCGTGTGGAAAGTTTTCATTCAAATGGTTCTTGTGACCACATCATGGCACTAGGGATCTGAAAACTATCTGCCATTCAAAAATAAATTGAACAAGCTCTCCTTTGGCTTTTCTTTTTCATTGCCACAGCTTGATTTGATACTGAGCTATTGTAAGTGGAAAATCGGCTCCATTTTTTCCGGCCCATCCTGTGTATCTTGTGTGTGCATGTTCAAATTCTGCTATTTTCACCAGTTCCATATTTTATAAAAATTTGAAGTGTTCAATTTTTTTTATTAAATTGAATGTCTATTATGCCCAGAATCTCCGTGAAAGCCAGTCATTTATAGGAGCGGAATGCGCTTTTTAATTTCACACAAATTTACTGTTGAAAGAACACAAATTACAACTTTCAATCATCAACTCGGAAGATTAAATTGGTGAGAAAGCTTTTGCCAAATGCGGAAGTTGAGAGGGGATCCTAAAGTTTTTCTCCGGGTCAGCCATTCACCTGGAACAATCAAAATGACTACATAGAGGCTCTTCAAATTACTGCCTGGGTTTTCCTATTGATGAATATAAACTGCCGTTGCAATTGATTTGCTGTGTCATCGTCCAGGATTGCATCAACATCGCATACATTTTCAGCGGACCTTGTGTGCAATGCCAATGAAAGAATAATGCCAGAGAAATATCATTTGGAGGAAAGAAGAAACTTCCGTATTTATTCATCAATCGCAAACTGGAAAAGTGAATTCCACTGAGTTCCAGAGACGCGACATCTTCAGGAAATTACACAATTTGAAGAATACTGTTGCACATCTAATTTTTTTTTTCAGTTAACGCAGTACTTTGCCGTCGATTGCTCGATTTGGGAGAGTAAAATGATTTTTTTTAAATCACACAGAAGCAGCAGCACTAATTTTTTCCAGGATCCAGTCGATGAAGTGCGCAACATTTGTGTAAACTCCGGGAAACCCAGGTTCAGCACATTTATTCCCCCAAGAAACAATTCCAACGAGTGTGCCCGTCTCACTGTCTACCAGCGGCCCACCGGAGTCACCCTTTGAAAAAAGAGAAAATAAATTACGATACAAAAAATAAGATACTAGAATAAAAAAGGGGGGGGGGGCTTGTAACAAAAACTCACGATTATTCACTGATTGCTGCTACAATTTCTTTAGAAAACGTTCCGCACGAATTTTCCTCAAAAGCCGCGTTTGGCACGTCATATTATACCAATTTTTTCACCTTTTGGTGGAAGTATTTGGAATGAGTTACGAATATTTTCAAAGCGTAGGACGAAGTTTCCTCTGTAGTTTACAAAATCGAATTACAAGCTTATTTGTACTGTAACACTGGCTGAATCTCTTTCATAATGCAGTACGTATGTTCATGTACTCAAACTTTTCAAGCTGAAATATTCCATCCCGGAAAAATTCTTACTAAGTAACGTATTCGTTCTCTCGAATAGCACAACTGAAGACCACTAAATTATGCTCAAATCATCATTTTCATCAGCATGAAAAATAAAGGCGCTACAAAAATCCTCTAATCAATAAATGTCACTGATGCTGCATCAATGTTCAGAAAATGATCCAGGCATGGGATCTCACTTTTAAAAATTTAGGGCTGTCCCTTTTAGTTTTAGAAGATCGAATTTTGCTTTCAGTTCCATTCACGCATGCATAATTTCAATCCGGTTATTTGTGATGTAGGGTTGGTGTATAAAACTGCTTGGGCACGTTTCTTTTAGCAGAAAATAGGTTACCTCCAATAACTACTTATTTTTTCATATACGTCGCATAACATTGCGTTAATCATTGAGAGGTGATTCTCCAGAAAAGCATACATATAAAATTCGGTCATCAGCGTGTCATTTTTCAAGTCCTAGAAATTTGCTTGTTAAGATGCACAAGTCAGAGCTGAAACAGTTTTATTATTCAAGAACTCACTTGGCATGTATCAATTCTTTCGTCAGTTCTGCCAGCACAAATCATATCGTCAGTGACTGGATACGGCGAAGACGCATAGTTTTCTCTGCATGTCTTCAAATCCACGTAATTCACGATTGCCCACTGCAACTCATCCGGCATTTGATGGGTTCCGTATTGCAGTGTACCCCATCCCATGATGAGGTACGGTGTGTCTAAAAAATCGTTGGCAGCATATTATTCCTTTCTTTTGAATTTTTTCATTTATTTATTGGAAATATATGTATCACGCACCAGTTGACGGCTCATCGAATCTCGAAGGAAGCGGAATTGCTGAGACATGTTCGTTGAAAATCAACGGGGCGTCGAGTTGCAGCAGACAAATATCATTTTCATTCGAGAAGAGACTGAAAAATTCGAATCTATTACTTTGGATGATTGAAGTTGAGGGATTGAATGTGAATTCGTTCGTTTGGGAATCATTTGGACGTTTTATCACACTTGGATTTTGCTTGACGTGTCTCAGCGACGATTTTTGGATGCGTCGAAGCTTAGATTTCTACTGAAATCGCACAGTACTTAGTGTTTAGCTATTCTAATGTTCTCTCTCCGAGTCTCAACAAATCTCATGCAAACCTATCACCGGTAAAAAAAAATACGGAGATACTCAAAATAATCAACGTCCTCTATATTTAATACAAAGTCTCATCCGAAGAAAATGTTGCATTGCGATTCCCTGATTTTCTTCAACCAATTATACTTTTCCCCTCACTCATAACAGCTACGAGGGCAAAAAAAAAAAACTGGAAGTTATCACACTTTGATTGGTAAATAAATTGTAAAAATTCTGAATCTAAAATCGATCGATATTAGAAATATCTCCGATCTTTATTGGCAGAAAAATATAAAACTTTGCGTACGTGTGCTCTGGCGCAGAATTCTCGGGAATCCAAGGTTTTCATGATTTCCCAAATTATGTCAAATCTTTTTACAGCAAAAAATTAAAGTCAATTTAATTTCTAACTCACTTGGAATTATATTCCTCATGGGGGATAATCCTGCTTGCTGATCTCAATTGTTCGGTTCCATCATCTTCCCGCACGTTGTGTTCCCCAGCAGTGATCTTTCACGAAGCATCCAATCAGTTTTTCGCGAGTATAAAGATCAGGATTATGCGTGCCAATCAGGCCAACAGAGGTCAACTTACTTTTATCACATCTACACCTCCAACTTTACAGCAATGAGCAGCTGTAAGAAGGAAGTCTTCGGTAAGGATACTGGCTGCACAGGAGATAAATTGGCCGTTCACGTGGTACATCTTCATGTCAACTATGTACGGAAATTGTCCAGGTTCAGCTGTATCTCCCCCGACGATCCGCGGCGTATGAACACTCCCGATTTGTGAAGTACCTTCTGGAAGGTTTTCTGCTGAAATGATGAGTAGCCAGGATAAAGCCATTGTAATTTTGGTAGAATATACATGGTGCAAACGATGACTCACGTTCAGCCACGCAAATCCCTGCTATGGCGAAAAGGACAAAAACAGATCCTCGCATGATTGATTTTGAGAACTATTGGACGAGGAAATTATGTCTGCTGTCACGAACCAGCGCGGATGGTTTTATACTCCAGAATACAGTATTGAGATTTCAAATTTCTCTTCGCGAGAAAGGCTGCACACGCATGCACACAATTGTAAAATGCCATTTTCAGAAGGTCTTAAATTTCACACATTCAGTCTTGATTACCTGTGATATGCTTCATTCAGCGCGTGTGGACAATTTCATGAGGCGAAGAAACTGATATCAGCGTTGCCAATGGAACTGGAGTGCTATAAATCTTCGATTGTTTCACTGACGCGTGAACGAAAGAATTAAACCTTGATGTAACACGGGGAATCAATTAATGAGTTTTTATGAAATCAGTAATCTCCACGTCCAAAGTCGGCTGAAATTTATTCTGTAAAAACGGTTCTAAAACCAGATAAAAATTGCTTGTCATTAAAAAAGGCAACGGTAGACGATGAGAAGAAAACTTGTATTCGCTTTCACGAAAAATGTGACAAATTAAAAAGGAAAATTATAGGTATAGAGTTAGCAAAAAATTGGCGATCTCTAAGTTCAATTCGATTGAAATTAATTTCAATTCTTTATAAACGTTTTTTAGGATTAAAGAAAACCAAGAAAAATATCTTATTCAAAAATGCAACACAAAACACGAAGCTTCATTAAACTGCCGTTCATTAAACAAGGCGAGATGTCACGTCAGCTGCGTATTGAAAAAAATAATTGAATCACAAAATAACAAAGCGAATTCAACATTTGAGTCTGCATAGAACGGTAATCTCGAAGGTAAATTCGATTGAAATCAATTCTGTGAAAAGAATTTCCAAGAATACAAAAACACGAACCATTCCTTGCAATTTTAAGATGCAACGCGAGACGAGAAGAATATTTCAATTTTTGTTGGTTAAACAGAACACGTCAGCTACGTAATGACCAAAACAATCAATTAAAAAAGGAATTGAAGTTTAGAGTTTGCATATAGAATATAGTCAATCTCAAAGTTAAATACGAATGGAGTTCATTCTGTAGGAACGGTCGGAAATGGAAACACAAGAACAATTGCTCGTAACTTTAAAATACAACGCAAGACGAGAAAAAGACTTCTAATCTTTTTTTATAAACATGCATGAAATGTGCGTGAGCTGCGCAGTAAAATGAAAAACTGCCTTGAACTTCAGAGCCGTTAATTGATGAATGAAATCAATGCAAGGAAATGGTCCGGCAAACAGTAAGATAACGATTTGCAATCGCAGGTATGATTTGAAGTCTTTAACCCAGGGATTCTCAGGAAATCTATTTGCTGTTCTCTGCTATCCAGTCCAAGAAGTAGGACACTTGGGTGTAGACCCCGGGGAATCCGGGTTGAGCACAGCCGTATCCACATGAGGTCAAGCCGAGCAATTTGGACACAGCTTCATCAGTCAAGGGGCCACCGGAATCTCCCTGTGAATCAGATGACATAATTTCGGTAAGAAACGCAAATACAGTTTACCATTTATAATTTAAATTTAGAAACAGATTGCTGTCAGACTTTAAGGTTGACCATTGAATATCCTATCCTTTACTCCTAACTTAAAATAATGATTTTGTATGGTAACTTAGCGAATTTTCCTTCGTGAGCATTTCGGGGAAGGACGAAAAAATATAAAGCAACTTTTCAATTACTTGGAATTACAGTATTTTAAATAATCGTGGTGACTGCTGCTGTCAGTTTCGCAGAAGCAAAAATATCCGACGATATGACGTGTCACGTTTCTCGATTAAATTCAATTATCTTCAGAAAAAATCGGAGCGCAGAAAAATTAATTTTTTACATTCGATCGAAAATACATATTGTCAAGTACACAGTTTATTCAATATTTTCAAGTCAGACAAGCCATATTTAAAAATTGGGGGTAAGGTTTCAATTTTCATCAGCAATTCGTCTTCTGAATCCAACACGAATTATGAACCAAGACCTCAAATTTCTGTGAGTAGGAAAACAAATCAGGATTGTGAAAAATGATTTCAGTGAAGTTTCTCCATAGAAATGGCGATGACGGCAAATTCAGTTCAAATTACGTTCTTTGAATGACTAACTCACAAAATGTAAATCACTTCTTGTGGAAATTTGACGAATGAAGGCCATCGTTGCGTATGAATCTTTGGCATGGAAAAATAATATTTAAAACCTTCATACTTCGATTATAGATGTATTTTTTTCGTATAGGATTGGTGTTCTTTTTCTTTTTTTTTACCTGGCAGGTGTCAACACCACCATCTTCAACGTTTCCAGCGCAGATCATGCTCTCAGCAACGGGCATACACCAGAACTCGCTCGCACAGCAGAACGCACCCCGCCCCCTGAGCTTGACGGTCCACCCCTCGCCAATTGGAGGGCTCCCAAAGTATTGCTGACCTTGGCACCCAGTCTTTCCTTGGGTGACAGACCCCCACCAGCAAGAAGCTAGAGGGAGCTGTAGGTATTGGTCTCACACATGGCAGCTCCCGTAAATTCTGTTAATTCTCGGGGATGGAGGGTGCTGTTCGTTACGAAATTCAAGGATGGGTCGGGGTGTATAGGAAATTGACTGACATCAACTGAGCATGTGGCAAAATAAAGGGACAAGTGGTAATTGAAAGTACGAGGGCAGGTTTAGTTGAAAAACCATCATAATAAATGAGTTCATAAATAAATGAATTTTTTGTTAGGCATTTTTATGCCAGGGTTTTGAAGTCAATTATTGTTTGCATCATGAGCTTTTTTTGAGTCAGCTTTTGAGTCGCATACAATAAGGTATAATACAGTGATATTATTCAACAACAAAGAATATATATTTTCCTACTTCAGAATGCTGCTGGACCCATCTCCCAGTAAAAAAAAAAAAGTTAAACACCTAATGGCAATATCCGGAGTATCAATTAGGATGAAATGAATGAGTTTCCCCTGCTGGTATACCCGCGTTCTGTGCGGGCGAGTTCTGGTGTGTGCCCCTCAGCAACACCAACGTTCAGATTATCGCACACGTTGTCATTAACGTAGGGCACTCGGACCCACTGCAGAACTTCCGGTAAACTGCCACCAGAGGAAGAAGTTCGCCAACCGGAAGCAATCAGACTATCACCTGAATACCAAGGAATAACCGGAAATTATTACATCTCGTCTGGCATCTTGACCATCGCCGGCACACTAATTTTTTCGCGTAGAGTCCAAAAGACAATGAAGTACCGCTTTAAAGAAATATCAAATAAATACAGTCTAATCTATTCAAGTCAAACCCCGAAGGACCTGCGAAAAAAGAAATGGATTCAGGGGGCTTTTGATTTAGGAAAATTGGCATTTTTGCTCAGGAAACAAAGATTAACTTGACTTACAGTTGGCGTTGATCTGGACCTTGAACTGGTGGGTAAATGAGTTGACAGGATATGCTGAACTTATGAAGTCAAGGGTTTATTAGCCGCCATCGCTCCATTTTCAAAAGAATGAAATTACATTTTTAATTGGTTTCCTCTTTACAGGGTTCCCAGATTAATAGCACTCAAATATAAATTACAGTTGTAGAGGTTTGAGAGGGAAATCGTTTGAGTTGGGGAGATTTATAATATTTCGCTTAAGGGAATTTCAGACAAGGACTGAAAAATACTTGCACAAAGGAAGGTTTTCGACTTGGATTCCTGGTTCAAAAAATTTTCTTTTTGTGTTTGAAATTTCTGGGGAAGAAAACCCCTCTTTTTTTCGGGTTCTTCCCTGTCAGCGGGCAGGGAAATGGGCTGAACAGCATCATTGAGCTCCGAAACCTGTGCCAACTTCAACAAGCAAATGTCGTTTTTGCGTAATTTCGTCTGCATTTTTAAACATTTTAGCTTGAAAACTCGGGTTTCGTTGTGAATGTTTTTTTTAGAAGGAAATGAACTGCTGTAGCCTCGCCTCAATAGGGGGAAAACATCTCTTTTATTCACTGGCGAAAGCCAAATCTTGCAAGTCCAGAAGTGTACTTTGATTTTTGCCTATTTTATACAGAAAACGTTTTGGGAGAGCAAGAAGAAAAATCTCTTTGAAGGCAGCCCTTTTTCAAACTTCAGATGGCTATATTACCATTAACTTCGGGGTATGCTCGACATCCCGAACATTTTCGCAATTGGCAAATCCAGATTTCCAGAATTTTATGTTACTTTGCTTATATTTGCTGTTCTGGTGACTATCGGTCAAACTCAAAAAGTGCTTGCGTGTATACCAAAAATGGAATAAAAAAAATCCTGACGCTGCCATATAAAGATGAAAGAAACCCTTCCAGTCCCGTGATATCTGCCGAGGGTTATTAGAAGGAATAATTCCTTACAGAGGCGCCTAAGGGACTGCATAAGATATCGCAGCAGTGAGCAGCAAAGTTATTCATAAATCACAAACTGGAAAAGCGAAATCAACTGAGTTCCAGCGGCGCGACATCTTCAGGAAATTACACAATTTGAAGAATGCTGATGCGCATATAATTTATTCTTCAGTTTTACAATACATCGCCGTCAATTGCTCGATTCGGGAGAGCAAAATGTTTTTTTTTTTAAATCACACAGAAGCAGCGGCACTAATTTTTTCGTGGATCCAGTCGATGAAGTACGCAACATTCGTGTAAACTCCGGGAAACTCAGGTTCAGCACATTTATGCCCCCAAGAAACAATTCCAACGAGTTTGCCCGTCTCACTGTCTACCAGCGGCCCACCGGAGTCACCCTTTGAAAAAAAGAGAAAATAAATTACAATGCAGGAAATAAGATACTAGATTTTAAAAAGGGTGGCTTGTAACAAAAACTCACAATTACTCGCTGATTGCTGCTAGAAATTCTTGAGAAAACGTTCGGTACGAATTTTCCTAATAATCTGCGTTTGGCACGTCATATTAAACCAACTTTTTCACCGTTTGGTGGAAGTATTTGGAAACAATTACGAATGTTTTAGAAGTTTGAGACAAATTTTCCTCTGTAGTTTACCAAATGAATTTCAAAGATTTTTGTATTGTAACACTGGCTAAATATCTTTCATAATACAGTTAATGTAAACAAACTTGTCAAGCTGAAACATTCCATTCCGGAAAACTTCTTACTGGGTAACGCAATCATTCTCTCGAATAGCACAACTGAAGACCAACAAATTATGCTCAAATCATTCTTTTCATCCGCATGAAAAATAAAGGCGCTACAAAAATCCTCTAATCAATAAATGTCACTGCTGCATCAATGTTCAGAAAATGATCCAGGCATGGGTTCTCGCTTTTACAATTTTGGGCTGTCTCTTTTAGTTTTAAAAGATCGAATTTTGCTTCCAGTTCCATTCACGCATGCATAATTTCAATTAGGGTTATTTGTGCAGTAGGGTTGGTGTATAAAACTGCTTGGGCACATTTATGAAACAGAAGATAGGCTATCTCCGATAACTACTTATTTTTCATATCCGTCGCATAATATTGCGTTAATCATTGAGAGGTGATTCTCCAGAAAAGCATACCTGTTTTATAAAATTCGGTCATCAGCGTGTAATTTTTCAAATTCATAGAAATGTGCTTGTTAAGATGCACAAGTCAGAGCTGATCAGCTGAAACAGTTTTATTATTCAAGAACTTACTTCGCATGTATCAATTCTTTCGTCAGTTCTGCCAGCACAAATCATATCGTCAGTGACTGGAAACGGCACAGTCACATAGTTTTCTCTGCATGTCTTCAAATCCACGTATTCCACGATTCCCCACTGCAACACATCCGGCGTTTCATCGCTTTCGTATTGCAGTGTACCCCATCCCATAATGAGGTACGGTGTGTCTAGAAAATCGTTGGAAGCTTATTATTCCTTTCTTATGGATATTTTTTATTTATTTATATAAAATATATGTATCACGCACCAGTTGACGGCTCATCGAATCTCGAAGGGAGCGGTATTGGCCTCTGTACAAGCAACTTTTAGTCGCCCCGCAGCTCAACGTCGTCTGTTTATAGTAAATTTAAGCTCTTATCTGACTTTTTCAGCTTGTTAATGAAACCTACTCACTTCAACTCCCTAAGCCACACATTTCATTATTCTATGGACTTCACATGAATCATTTGGACGTTTTATGGCATTTTGATTTTGCTTGACGTGTCTCAGCAACGATTTTTGGATGCGTTGAAGCTTAGATTTCAAATGAAATCGCACAGTATTTCGTGTTTATGTCTGCAAATCTTCTCTCTGTGAGTCTAAAAAAATCTCGTGCAATTCTATCACCGGTAAAAACAAACAAACACGGACTTACTCAAAATAATTAACGTCCTCTATATTTAATACAAAGTCTCATCTCAAGAAAATCTTGCATTGCGATTCACTGATTTTCATCAACCAATTATATTTTCCCTCTCACTCATATAACAGCTACGAGGGCAATAAAAAGTGGAAGTTATCACACTTTGATTGGTAAATAAATTGAAAAAATTCTGAATCTAAAATCGATCGATGTTAAAAAGTATCTACGATCTTCGTTAACAGAAAAATTGCGTACGTGTGCTCTGGCGCAGAATTCTCGGGAATCTAGAGTTCTCACAATTTTCCAACTTATTTCCAATCTCTTTACAGCACAGTATTCAAGTCAATTTAATTTCTAACTCACTTGGAACGAAATTCCTCGTGGGGGATAATCCTGATTGTTGATCTGAATTGTTCGGTTCCATCATCTTCCCGCACGTTGTGTTCCCCAGCAGTGATCTTTCATGAACGATCCAACCAGTTTTTTTGGCGAGAATAAAGATCAGGATTATCATAATTATGCATGCTAAAAAAATCAACTTACTTTTATCACAAATACATCTGGAGTACAGCAATGACCAGCTGTAAGAAGAAAGTCCTCTGTAATGATACTGGCAGCACAGGAGGAAAACGGGCCGTGTATGTCGTGCAACGTTATGTCAACTATGTACGGAAATTGTCCGGGTTCAGCTGTATCTCCCCCAACGACCCGCGGCGTATGAACTTTCCCGATTTGTGAAGTACCCTCTGGAAAGTTTTCTGCTAAAATGATGAGGAATCCGGATAAAGCATTTGTAATTTTGCCAGAATATCTCCAGTTCAAACGATGACTCACGTTCAGCCACGCAAATCCCTGCTATGGAGAAAAGGAAAAAGGCAGATCTTCGCATGATTGATTTTCGAAACTATGCGAAGAGGAAATTATGTATGCTGTCACGAACCAGCAGGGATGGTTTTATACTCCGAACTATACAGAGAATTCGAATTTCACTTCGCGAGATTGACTGCACACGCATGCACACAATTGCAAAATGCCATTTTCAGAAGGTCTCAATTTTCACACATCCAGTCTTGATCACCTGTGGTATGCTTCATTCAGCGTGTGTCGACAAATTCATGAGGCGAAGGAACTGATATCAGCGTTGCCAATGGAACTGGCGGGCTATAAATATTCGTTTGTTTCACTGGCGCGTGAAATAAATAATTAAATTGCAATATAACACGGGGTATTCGTTAATGCGTTTTATGAAAGCGGTAATCTCCAGGTCCAAAGTCGGCTGAAATTTATTCTGTAAAAACGCCTCTAAAACCCTATAAAAATCGCTTGTCAAAAAAACGGTAGGCGACGAGAAGAAAACTTTTAATCGCTTTCACGAAAAATGTGATAAAATAATAAGGAAAATTCAAGTCTAGAGTTAGCATAAAATTGGCGGTCTCCAAGTTAAATTCGATTGAAATCAATTCGAATTCCGTATATAAACGATTTTCTATGATTAAGAAAAACCAAGGAAAATCTCTTATTTAAAAATGCAACACAAAACGCGAAGCAAACTTCATTAAACTGCTGTTCATTAAACATGTCGAAAATGCACCTTAGCTGCGTAGTGAAAAAATAATTGAATCACAAAATAAAAAGCGAATTCAACTTTTGAGTACGCATAGGACGGTAATCTCGAAGGTAAATTCGATTGAAATCAATTCTGTGAAAACGATTTCTAAGGATCCAGAAACAAGAACAATTCCTATAAATTGTAATATGCAACGCGAGACGAGAAGAAGACTTCAAATTTTGTTGATTGAACAGGACACGGCAGCTACGTAGTGACCAAAACAATCTATAAGAAATAAACAAGGAATTGAAGTTTAGAGTTTGAGTTTGCATATAGAATAGTCAATCTCCAAGTTAAATACGACTGGAGTTCATTCTGTAAAAACGGTCGGAAATGGAAACCCAAGAAAAATTGCTCGTAACTTCGAAATACAACGCGAGAAGATAAGACTTCTAATTTTTTTTATAAACATGCATGAAATGTGCGTCAGCTGTGCAGTGATATGAAACACTGTCTTGAACTTCAGAATCATTAATTAAGGAATAAAATAAATGCAAGGAAATGATCCGGCAAACAGTAAGATATATTTAATCCCCAACAATTATTCGGCGAGACGACGCAGGAACTTCATTGCTGATGGAATCCGAAGGCGCAAAAAGGAGATTTCATGCGCACAGCTTAACTCAACAAAAGAGTAAAGTGATGATGCAATCGCAGGTATGATTTGAAGTCTTGAAGCCAGGGATTCACAGGAAATCTATTTGCTGTTCTCTGCAATCCAGTCCAAGAAGTAGGACACTTGGGTGTAGACCCCGGGGTATCCGGGTTGAGCACAGCCGTATCCCCAAGAGGTCAAGCCGAGCAATTTGGACACAGCTTCATCGGTCAAGGGGCCACCGGAATCTCCCTGTGAATCAGATGACATAATTTTGGTAAGAAAGGCAAATACAATTTAATTTTACTTTCATATTGAGAAATAAATTGCTGTCAAACTTTACGGTTGACCATTGATCATCCCATCCTTTACTTCTAAGTAAAAATAATGATTTCGTATGGGAACCTTGGCGAATTTTCCTTCGATGAGCATTTCGGGGAAGGACGAAAAAATATAAAGCAACTTTTCAATGAATTGGAATTACAGATTTTAAATAATCGTAGTGACTGCTGTTGTCAGTTTCGCAGAAGCAAAAATGCCCAACGATGAAGTGTCACGTTTCTCGATTAAATTCAATTATTTTTGTATATAATATGTGCGCAGAAAAAATAATTTTTTACATTCGATCGAAAATTCATATTTTCAAGTACACAGTATATTCAATATTATAAGTCAGACAAGCCATATTTAGAAATTGGGGGTAAGGTTTCAATTTTCATCAGCAATCCGTCTTCTGAAGGCTACACGAATTATGAATCAAGACCTCAAATTTCTGTGAGTAGGAAAACAAATCAGGATTGTGAAAAATGATTTGAGAGGAATTTCTCCATTAATATGGCGATGACGGCAAATCCAGTTCAAATTACGCTCCTTGATTGACTAACGCACAATATTTAAATCACTTTTTTTTGAAAATTTGACGAATGAAATCCATCGTTGCGTATGAATCTTTAGTAAAAACAATTGTTAAAACTCCCATACTTCGATTATGGGTACATTTTTGTCGAATAGGATTGGTGTTGATTTTTTTTTTTACCTGGCAGGTGTCAACACCACCGTCTTCAACGTTTCCGGCGCAGATCATGCTCTCAGCAACACCACCGTTCAGATTATCGCAGACGTTGTCATTAACGTAGGGCACTCGGACCCACTGCAGAACTTCCGGCAAGTTGCCGCCAGAGGAAGTAGTTCCCCAACCGGAAGCAATCAGAATATCACCTGAATACCGAGGAATAACCGAAAATTATTACATCTTATTCGAAATCTCGAAAATCGCCGGCACCATGATTTTTTGCGTAGAATCCAGAATACAATGAAGTACCGATTTAAAGAAATATCAAATGAACACATCAGTCCAATCTATTCAAGTCAACCTCCGAAGGACCCGCGAAAAAACAAATCGATTCAGGGTGTTTTCGATTCAGAAAAATTGGCAGTTTTGCCGAGGAAACAATTATTACCTTGAATTAAAGTTGGTGTTGCTCTGGACCTTGAACTAATAGGTGAATGAGTTGACAGGATATGCTGTACTCATGAAGGGTTTACATGACCTATTAGCCCATCACTTCTTTTTCAAAAGCATCAAATTACATTTCAATTGCTTTTCTTTTTACAGGATTCCCAGATTAAAAGGGCTCACATGTAAAATTGAGTTGTAGAGGTTTGAGAAGGAAATCTTTCGAGTTGGGGAGTTTTATAATAGTTTGTCCTTGAATGAATTCACACAAGGACTAGAGAATAATTGGACAAAGGGAGGTTTTTGAATTGGATTGCTGGTTCAGGCTATCAAGATACTACATAAAAGCTGTTCTCTTTGTGTTTGAAATTTCTGAGGAAGAAAAACCCTCACCTTCTTCGGGTTCTTCCCTGTCACCGGGCAGGGCAATGGGCTGAACAGCGTCATTGAGTTCCAAAGGCTCTGCCAGCTTCAACAAGCAAATGTCGTTCGACAAGTCGCTGAAATAAAGCAACATTTTAGCAAAATGTCAACTTGAAAAAGTATGCTCTAAATTCTGATCAACTCTAGAAGAGAACTCACAAGCCAAAGTCGGCGTTGATGATTATGTCGGCGACATCAATGGCTTGCTCAGTGCTGTCAGATCCCTCTAGAAGATGGTTTCCAGCAATGATCTGCGAAGGAAAATTCGAAATAAATTCTCCAGTTGTATGTTGCTCATAGTTTTGCAGGAAAATGAGTTGAATTCCAATGTCATGGCAATTCAATGCATTCTGGAGAATTTTCAGCCGATCGCTGCTCTTTTTTTTGCGGCTACATATTTCGTCTGCATTTTCAAAGAATTTAGCTTGAAAACTCGTGTATCGTTGGTAGTATTTTTCCCCTGATTGAATAATGAACAGCTGTAGTCTCGCCTCTCTTAACTCAATTTTTGAAGACATTTTTAAGATGAACATTGCATCTCATGACAGTTTTGGCTAGCCAGTACAATGTTATTGTTTTCTGGATGCACTGTATACCATATTTTTAAAAGCGTTGCAGGAAATTTTATAAAATGTGCATTATGCACGTGGATATTACTAGTGACTTTGATAAGCAAGTGCAAAAAGCAGCACTTAGTTGATGATCATATCTTCGTTAACTGACACAAGCTGGTGAATCAGCTATGGGTGATTGAGCTAATTTATATGGTATTAGCAAGTGTCCTCATGATCGAAATAATCAAAGTTAGTCATCTCCATCCAGGTAACGCATTTATCATTTTCAAAACGCAGAATAGCACAATCTTTATACTGTATCACCAAAAAAGCCTGCCAGCCACCTCTACAAAATAGGGGGAAAACATCTCTTTTATTCACTGGCGAAAGCCAAATCTCGCAAGTCCAGAAGTGTATTTTGATTTTTGCCTATTTTGTACAGAAAACGTTTTGGGAGAGCAAGAAGAAAAAACTCTTTGAAGGCAGCCCTTTTTCAACCTTCAGATGGCTATATTACCATTAACTTCGGGGTATGCTCGACATCCCGAGCATTTTCGCCATTGGCAAATCCAGATTCGTAGGTTACTTCGCTTATATACGAGGGACATAACAAAAGTTCTCGGAAATTAAATTAAAATGGCATATAATTGAGCTGAAAAAAATTATTCTCTAGGAAAAAAATATTCTTCGGCACACAAAAAATCAGCCCTGTTTGACACATTTTTTAAATGTATTTGCAAAATTCACCCCGGCAGAATTTTTCTCTCCACTCAAAAGATGAGGCGCCCTTCCTGTAGATTTTGTTTATTGTAGTCCGGCTTTCCTCTCCGAGTTCTCGAAATAAACGAGGCATTAATTCCAAGGGTTAATTATCTTCCCAAGTAATCCCACCATTTTCATCACAGTCGCCACATTGTGAAGGTGGCTGTTGATAAAAATGGCGGAATTACCTTGGAAGACCTGGAGGCGAACCTTGGATTTAATGCTACGTCGATTTCAAAAATTCCGAGGGAAAAGCTGTGCTACAACAACAACATCTACAGGAAAAGCGCCTCATCTTTTGAGCGGAGAGCAAAACTCTGCCAGGGTGACTTCTGCAAAGCAGCAAACAATTAGTCAAACAGGGCTGATTCTTTTTTTTATGCCAAAGAATATGTTTTCCCAGAAGAATGATTTTTTTTTCAGCTCAACTATATGCCATTTTAATTTATATTCTGAGAACTTTTGTTAGACCCCTCGTATAAAGATGAAACAAACCCTCCCAGCAGCTCCGCCATATCTGCCGATGAGGGTTATTATTAGAAGGAACAATTGCTTACAGAGGCGCCTGAGGGGTCGCTGAAGATATCGCAGCAGTGAGCAGCAGTGATCACGGTGTTCTCATCCAGAACGGAGCCGCCGCACAAGTGGCTGCCGTAGTATTGGAAGGTGACCTGATGGGGGAACTGACCGGGCTCGGCATCTTCGCCACCGACCACACGTCTGTCCACCAAACGGGGGCGACGGAACACGGGTGTTGCTGAAAATTAAATAAATGCTGTATATGCTATTACATTATCTCATTTCGAAGTAAAGCTGGGAATAGAATAAATGTTTCAATTTCATGTCACATAAATTCATTTATTTCACAGCATCACTGACGAACGTTTGACGTATATTTTTCGAGGAGGGCCAACAATACGTTCTGAGTGGTTTTCTAGAAATACCATGAAGTTGACGGACGATTCCTGATTTTTTCCAATGTTATCCAATGAAACACAATCGATCATATCGATCATAAGAAGATATAATGGGAATTAGAACAGCTTTCATCTAGTCTAAGTTATTTCATCTCGTCTGTAGCTTGTATTTTTCGTCGAGGGACAAAAATAAATTACACCTGACTATCCAAAAATATCTTTCTGTCGACTGCAGCTTTATGGTATTTTTTCAATTGCACCTAAGAGCAAAGAATAAAAATAAAAAATCAACTAACACGGTACATCATTTTAGAAATAGCTGATGAAAAAACTGTCGATATTTTCATGCCTCTTTTTTCACGTCATGAATAATATGAGTGACGCATAAATGAAAGCAAAGGCTATAGTAAGCTATTTTTAGCTTCTTCAAATATCCCAAAGCATTAATCCTCAATTATTTTTCATTCAAACTGAATGTTCCGAAAGCGTGTGCAAAACTCACCTGTGGCAGCAACCACGAGCAAAGCAGCAACAAAAAGCTTCATTATTATTTAAAGTTGATGAGACGATTTATGATCACTACAAAGTCAATTTGCCGAGTCTGATCATTCAATTTTCGATCCTACGTTTTATACAAAATTGAAGGACAATGCTGAATTCCTCCATTATCGCGAAGGATTGAGATAAGAGTTTAGCGTGAATCCTTACACGAAATTGAATTGCTGAATGACGGGCAATAAGGGTAACAATGTGGATATTCTCACGATTATTCAGCGAATTTTAAATAACATCACGTGTACTAATTGACACCAATTCTGCTTAGCGAATTTTCTTAGGAATGAAAAATGCTCGAAGAGGATTAGAGATTCGAAAATCTTCCACGAAAAGCTACCGTAAACTTAATGTTGTTATAAACATTTTTCGCAGAACTTTGCCACGCCCTGCTTTTCGCTGGAAATACTATTGAAAGACATTTAAAAAATATGCTTCATACCCAGGAAAAAAAAATACCGGGGAAGAACTCAACATTTTCCTACCTCCTTTAACCCCACAATTGCTTTACATTCGTCTTTCGAGAATTCGTGAATATTCGTGATATTAATTATCCTGTAAAACTTTTTCTATGGCTTTTACGAAAGCCGAGATTTCCAGGGACTGGCTTCAGGTACATTCCGAAGATGATGCCTTGAAATCATGTACAGGAGCCGAAGAAATTTTGAAACATTATGTCAGCTATGAAATACATTCGTCGAAAGTTCCATTAAAATCTTATGAAGGGAATGCTTCTGCATGCCAAAGAAAATCGCCGAAATTTTCCACGCAAATCTGCTCGACAATATCTAATTTTCGCGACGAAGGATCATCGCATCTGAGAACGTGTGAAGAAGCATGTGCTGATTCAAAGTAATTTCACGTTTGTGATTTTTAATGAAAATGAATACATGAAAATAGCCCCGAAAGTTGAAGATATGGTTGTTTTTCAGCTTCACGGATTCAAGAAAACCTCTGAAATCGAAGGTTCTTAAAACGAAGTGCAACGGAAGAAAAATCACTACCTGCAAAGTGATTGAATTGGCGGCCAGGAACATGAGAAACTTGGTTCTACCGGATGTCGCTCGTCTCTTGCATTTGCCGAACAGCAGATTTGAAAAGATTGTGCGCGAAGTATACGCAGAAAGATTTGGCACGCCGAGAGAACCTCTTTTCAGACACAGTGAGTTTCTGCTATTTACTAGGTGTGTTTTTTTTTATGGGCTTGAACTTGACGCACCACCAGGTTTTTAGCAGTCAACTGCACCATTTTGTTGGTACTGATGGAAATTTTGAGAAGCCCTCGAATTTCCAACTTTAAAATAGTTCGTCATTTTTTGCGATGTATGGCTAAACAATTTAGCATCCGTAGTTCAACCTTCCGTACCTCACGGTCATTCACCCATTATTTCAACATGAACATAGTCTAATTTTATTTTTTTACATGTATAAAAAATGAAATGAGGCGAGAGGAATTTGTTGGCATATCCCTCAAAAAAATCCTGCTGGCCATGATGGAAAACTGCTACCGTAAATCATAGGTCAACTTTGGCCCGATTCTGTTTTTGTTTCTCATCTAACTTCCGACTAATTTCCTTCACAGGCCCGCCAGCGAGAAAGCAACATGTTCCAGTGCCAGTTAAAATTGCAGAACCCACGAACACGGACATCATTGAACCAATAATAAATGAAACCAAAATTCCTTCGAACGAGAATTCATTTAATGTATGTGCATCCCAAGCTTCTCATTCACCAATGTTCTTGAGCATGCCATTGATCGATGATCTTTGACTCAATGAAATGACAGCATTCATTTTATTTGCCCATCATGAGATTTCATCCGAACTCCCCGAAAAATGAATAATTCAAGAAATAGAAACGTTTATCTTCCATAGGAAATTTAAGCGATTAAACACAGACTTGAAAGATTTCATTGCTGCTGGATTTGAGTTTATTCAAATTGAAGTCAGAATCCTTGATGGAAGGAGTCAAAACACGAAAGATTATTCTTTTCTCGCAAAACATGCCAGGAACTCTGAGCTAATCATTACAACTTAACGAGTTCGTTTCTTCGAAAATACAACTATATTGGTGCATTTTACCAAACTCTCGTCCGGTTTTCAGCACACAAACAAACAAAAAAAATCGCTCAATTTTTAATAAGGAATTCTCTCGCCATGGTGCACTTGAATTTGTCCTACACTAGCAGTTATCACGAGTTCTGACTGGCCCCGGAATTCAATTCGTTCATTTCTAGATTATTCTGAATCTTGACGTCCTCTGTTGTGGCTTTCGGAGAAGCAGGACCAAGAATTTGAGCACCGACATTCTTGTCAGGTACACAGGAATGTGCGGCAGCATTCCGAGCCGATTTGCTGGTCCTCAGCTTTTTCATTTTGAGTCTCAATTTCCTCGAAGGGTTACTCCTCAATGCTGAATCAGTTTCTTCGTCGGCATTCGCATTGTGAATCCGCATCCGACCGGTTTTGCACAAAAGATCGCTGCCGCAAGTTGGGCAGTAGGTGATTTTACTTTTCAGAGATTCTCGAAGCTTCTGTAAAAAAAAAGAAAAATTTTAAGAAATGGTCTTCATTGTAGCTTTGATATGAGAGTTTCATGACGAACTTCTTTCCAAGTGTTCCCTTTGGCATTGCAGACGGCTATAACAGCTTGAACCGGAATCGGCACGATCGACACACTGGCAATTTTGGTCGGTTTTATAAGTCGGGTCCGACCTATAAACATGGAAAGCAACAACATCCTCTGCGAAACACTGAGCATGTCTGACATTTGGGTCTAATAGACGTCTTTTTTTACTTTTAAAAGTCTGAGCATGAGATTTCTGAAAAATCCGAAGGAATAAGTTCCCTTTCAGCTGACTTGCAATTTTTGTTTCACAAAATAATACATTCACGTGCGACGATTTTAGCTATTCTCACATTGTGGGATTTGTGGCTGATCAGAGAAAAATATTCCAGATACAGATTTTGCAAAATTAAGATGCATTTTTCAGGAGTGCATGGAGACGATGATACCATTCCTCTGATTAAAAATAATTTAAAAATCCCTTTCAGGAGAAATGGAATTTAATTTTTGTTTTACAGATTTTAATGCAAATACATCTGCAATTGCATCAGAAATGGAGAGACGAACTTTGCCTTACAGAAATTCCGAGCTAGGATTTTGAAAAAAAAAATTGGATTTTCACTCACAGCAATCAATAAAGGAGATGCAAACCACCAGCAAAACTGGAAATATAACGAAGGGAGATGCCCAGTCATTTCCAGACAGTTTCTCG